ATAAGCAACTGTGCCATCCAATCATCTTTATGTCCCCCGTATCTAGTGCTGACACATGGGATTCACTGCTAAGGAGCAGTTCTATGGGCTTTAACGAAGGAAGACTTCTGGGTACTCCAGTCTTCACTGACCAACATGGTCCACCAGCCATGTGTGGTTACAAAGCACTTGAAAGGTGGCTGGGTAGGCTGAACTGAGGTATGCTGTAACAGCAAAATTACAAACCAAATTTCAAAGGTTTAGTACAAAATAATGAAAAAGGTCTCGGCAATTTTTACAATGATTTCATGCTGAAATCATAGTGCTTTGGCTATTGGGCTAAATAAAATATATTATTAAAATTAATGTCATCTATTTCTTTTTATATGTCTTAAATGACTACTAAAATATTTAAAACTACATATAGTTGACATTATATTTCTGTTGGATAATGCTGGACTAAACCAAAGATTATTTTCACATACAAATCACATCTAGTATTCTGTATCTGATTCTCTATGTTTCTTGGTAGAACGGAAATTTGATGATAACATCTGAATGGAGACAAAGCACTCATGAAGCCTGTGTCTAGAACAGCCAAGGAACATTTATTTTTTTAGATCTATCAGTCTGTATATCATACACTTTAGTAGGTTCACTGTTATAAAGAAAAAGTAATAATTCCAACTCTTGCTATATTCTTTTACATTGAATCAAAGTCTTACAAAGGACATACAATATCTATGCAATGGACACTTAAATAGCTCTTCAGTTTCTGGCTGTAATGCCTCTTTACCCTCTCTCAGCTTTACCCTGGCATCCTAAGCGATCAGCCAGACCTCCCACTGACCCCACAAGACCAGGCTCAAATAACACTCTTGTCAAAAGCCCTAGATAGGCACATCAGGGGAGATGCTCTATAAATAGACACGTGGACACGGAGTGCTCTGCGCTGATAACCTAAGCCAGTACAAACTCCCTTTGCCTCCCAAATGTTTGTTGCCTATAACAATTAGTTAAACATGAACGCCACAAAGAATTTTACTTCCATCAGCTTGAACAGACAGATTTTAGATAGGTACCTGCAAAGCAGCGGCTGAAGGTGATTTTTAAGTTTTAGGTACCGCTGTTGCAAAACTCAAGTGAGCTTAAATAGAGACTTTAAGAGACAAAAGGGATCAATTCAAAACAAAAATGAGGAAAAGTTTCTAAGTGGTCTGTGGGAAAGGCTAAAAAAAGGTTTCATGGGTCTACACTCAGGAAAATATAAATCAAAACAAAACACTGTCAAGCGTGTCTACTTCTGCATCTCTCTGCACACAGAGACCTGAGCCTGGCACTCTCAGCACTGGCGCGTGGCGCAGGTCCAGTGAAGAGACGTGGGCAGAAAATTTGAATCTACAGGTGTTTCTTAGTGAAAGGGGTGCTGCAATCACTTTTTTCTTTTTTCTAATAATTTTGTTTTCAATCCTGAGTGTTGTAGGAAACAGAACAGAGCTTTCAAATCTTATTCAGAATAAAATTCAAAGTCACCATCATGGCCTACAAAACCCTACATGATGTGCAACCCAGCTGCCTCTTAGCTTCCTCTGCCATCCTCTCCTTAGCCCAGGGCTCCGGCAGCCTGGCCATGCCTTCTTGTGCCGGTGCCCTTGTGCCTGCTCTTGCCATGGCCTTGAGTGGTGATGGCGACCCTTTCCAAGCTCTCAGTGGTAACACACAGCCCACTGCAGCACGCGCGCCATACATTCACCACCACTGGCCCGGAACATGCACTGCTTCACCTGGACTCAAATGTCACATGACCAGAGAGGCTGTCTTCACCCCCCATGCACACAGCACACCCTGTACCCCACTCTACTGGTCTTCATATCACTTCCAGTCACCCGGCACAGTCCACGTTTCTTTAATTGTATATGTGTCTTCCCAAAAGTAAAGTACGTCGGGAGAGCAGGGGTTTTGTTCTTTTTGTCCACTGTCAATTCTCTTGGAAGTGCCTGGCGCATCAGAAGAGTTCAGTAAATATCTACGGAATGAATAAAGTAACTAGATTGAATCCAGACACCTGAGGTCTAGTCCTAATTCTTCCACTAAAAAGCTGTGTGACTTTGAAAAAAACAGCCCTGACACTCAATTTCTGAATCTGTAAAAGGGCTATTGAAATAGGTATTTCTAAATACTCTGCTAGCTCTAACACCCTGGGGGTTTTATAGTCCTGCCATTTACAAATAATCTTTTATGAAATTTTAGCAACAGGAAAATATAATTTAGTATTCACAAACTACAATCCCTGTGGGGCGCTGCAGTGTGATTCAGAACCCTGCTCTGGGTGAAGCCCTCACAAACCCCTGCAGGCAGGTGGGCCTCAGATGGGTCTACTGCAGGTGCTTCACACACACCTTTCATTCCTGTTTCCCCATTTGGCCACTCAGGAGGCGAACGTTGAGGACAGCGAGGGACCCTCACGACCTGTGCGGCTCTGCACGCGTGTGGTCCTCGGCACCCGCGAATGGTCCACTAATGAACGAAACTCCCTTCTAACTTAGAAGAGAAAGAAAGCTACAGCTAATTCTACGTATTACACCTGGAAGGGTAAATGAAGGGTTTATAAGCAGATACTTCTTAAGGTTTATTTCTCTGGTAACAAAATGTGTTAGTACTCATTGCAGAAACCTGAAAAGTTTAGATACAGAAAAATTTCTAATCAGTGATTAGATAACCACTATTAACCTTTTTTAACCCTACGGTTTACTTTTATTAGCCTTCTAATTTTCTTCTAATCTTCTAATGTACTTTTTCTAGTACATTTTTTCCTTTATGGTTGACATCATACTATACTATACTAAAAATGTTTTTAAATTCAATAGAGGCATTTTCCATGTCATAAGAAGCTTCAAAAATAGTATTTTTATAACTTTTTAATGAAAAATGAAACAAATAATAAAAGAATAACAATAGTTATTACATTTTAACTTTTACATGCCCTTTCACCTAAAAACAAACAAAAAAAACCAGCCTGTAAGCTCAGGTCCTGAGGATGTCTCTGGCCACTGCAGAGTGCAGACAGCGCTCATACAGAAGGAGGAGGGGTCCACTAGCACACAGCAGAGGCCTCGCCCATCCTCGCTAAGCTCTCGGGCAGCACGATGAGAGTCCGCCTGGCGTGGCAGACTCAGAGCTGGCCCCATCCCATACCTGGCTTCCCACCTTTCCTTGCTTTTTGATCCCAAGAGATGAGACAAAGCTCCAGTGTCCTCGTGTCTAACAAGACAGTCTCTGCATAGACTGCTGGGGGGTTAAGGTGAGCAGCCAGGCAGCGCTGGCTGGAAGGCGAAGACCGGCAGCTCACCCTTCTCATCACCCATCTTTTGGAAGATTCCATGTTCTCACCCAACATGAGTCTCAGAAAAGCTTGTGCGTGAACTCACACTCGAGCCGTGGTCCAGTTGTTCACCACACCACACCTGTGGCCCCAACCGCATGCAGCCCCAGCCCAAGCCCCTCCGAGGGCATCCGCAGCCCATCCTAGACAGCACCGCTCTGTGTGAGGCTCACCAAGCCCCCTGGAACCCCACTTCCCCACCTGCCATCGCCCTACTTTTCTGCTGACGTGGTCTTAACTCCTAAGTGCTGCTCCAAAGTTCTGCTGGCTCCTTGCCACCCACCGTATTAAGTCAAAAGGAGCAACCTGAGAGATTCCCTCCCTCAGCACCTGCCTTCACGTCCCCTTCTCTGCTTATTCTGATCTTATGTCTATTTCAGAGAGGCTCAAGTTGACTGCAGATAAATCATTTCCTGATCTGCAGGTCCTGACCTTTGTCACAGGGTCATGCGACCCCAAAGTGGTGCTTTCAACTGAGAATGAGTTTGCAGTGTCTCCCGAGGCGGCATCCTGGCTGGGAAGAGGGTAAGCACCCAGCGCACCAGAGGAGGCCAACAAGGCTCTGCAGACCCTGCCCTTTCCCTCGCCAACGCCCGGTGCACTGGCCCTCTCCTTGCGCCAGGCTCCTCAGTGCCCCCTCGTCTGCCCTCTGCAGGCACCTGCTGCTGGCTTTCCAAGGCCCAGCTCCCTCGAGGTCTACTCTCCTTGCCCTGCCCAGCACATGTGGCTCACCCTCCTCCCACCTTTTCAGCAGTCCTCTGCTCCCCTCCTTCTCCCTAACCTTTCCCACAGTTCTTAAGGGCAGAGGTAGTGCCTATTTCCTGCTGAGTTTTTGTAAACAGGAGGCCGATGTCCAAAACTTCTCATCTGACTGACCAATGCCTTTCTACAGGGTGGCTTTTTTCAACATAGCTCTGCTGGCCTTGGCTGAACAGTATTTCTAACTTTAGGTAAGATGGGCACTCTAAAATGGTACATGCATCTGCCACCTTCAATACTTTTCCACAGGTGTACGCCTATAATCCGAGGACTCAGGAGGCTGAAGCAGGAAGATCACTGATTTCAAGGCCAGTCTGAACCACACAGTGAGACCCTGTCTTAAAAAAGCCAAAAGTACAAAAAAATCCGAAAAGAAGTGCTTCCTACCATTTTCATTTTAGAGCCTACAGAAGGGCCTCCCCTTCTCAAGATCAGAGTGGGAAGAAAGCCACTTTTTCCACACTGCTAATCACTTTCATAGTCGCTGAAGAGCTGCTAGTCGGAACCAGCGGGAATTTAAGAACATGGGTTACTGGGACTCATGCTTCAAAAAGAACGGGTCTGTGTATCAGAGCTAAGTCCTCTTGCAGCGATTCAGCCAGCGCCGGGTGCCTAGGGCACTGCCACCCACTTGGAGGGCCCGGGCCTCCTCCGCGGCGTCCTCGGCCCTTTCCCTCTGGCCTGGCTTCCCAGGAGTCCTGGGCCAGGACACGGGGCGTGTTCCAGCTGTTCTGCAGCCGGGCAGGACCCCAGGCCAATCTCCAAGAGCGGCGGGCGGCAGGGCGCGGGCGCCAGGCGGCGGGACGAGCTCTGCCCCGGCCTCCCTCGCCTCCACCTCCGCCGGAGATGCTCAGCGCGGGAGCGGCCGGCCCGGGCTCACCTGGCCTCGGCCTCCGCCTCGGACTCGGCCTCCGTGTCCTCCTCCTCCGTCTCCGCCGCCTCCGTCTCCGTCTCGTCCTCCGCCGCCGCCCGTGCCTCCCGCTCCTCCATGGCCGCGCAGTCCAGGCCGAGCCGCGCCCGCCGGGTGTTCCCCCTCAACTGCGCGGCCTGGGCCGCGGCTCGGGCTCCGAAGGGCGGCGGGCGGCCCCTCCAAACAGAAGGTGTCAAGTGTCCCCCGAGGGTTGGCCTGGAGGCCCAGCCCCCCCTGCTGGGCGCTGTCCTGGGCGCTGGACGCTGCCTTCCCGCCCCGCCACGGGTCCCCTCCCCCGGAGCGCTCCCAGCCTCTGCCCCGCCTCTGCCCTCTGCCCCCTGCCCCCGCGGGCCGGAGCGCTGGAGCTGGGCCCGCACCCCATTCCTCTGCCCAACCCGCGGGGGCTCCCTGCACACCGCACCCTTCCCGGCGCGGCTCAGGCACTGAAGCCTGGACCCTCAGCCCTAACAGCCCGCACCCTTCCTACGGGGCCCTGCTCAGCAGTCAGGGCTCCCAGCACCGCACCCCTTTTCAATTCCGTCCTTTGTCATCAAGACCCCACTCCTCTGCAACGCCCAGGCTAGTCAGCACTCCCCCGCTCAGCGCCCACAGCAGCCACAGCTTGGTCTGCCTTCAGGCCCCAGGTAAACCAGCAGGTGCGATGAGCACTCCTGCTGAGCTCCACAACAGGCAGAGGAATCCGCCACAGAAGCACTCTTTCCGGGAGAATGACCTCGGGCCAGGGCAGCGCTTGTTCTTAAATATTCAGAGAGTTGTTAGATGCGATGAATGCAGGCTGGGTACTCTACTACCTTGTATGCATACCTTAGGTCTGCGGACAGCACAGGACACACAGCTTGGGTACGAGACAGAAGGGACAGCTAACGAGCAGAGGACGTGGGAAGAGCAGAGTCGGACTTCCAGGTTTCGCCAACCCAGGTTAAACAGCGGCAGTACTCATTTTTGTAACACTAGCTAGGCTTCTCCCTCAGCAATCCCAAATGACCACGCTCCCCCAGGTCAGGAAGGGTCCAACCCAGCTGTGGGAATTTTTAAACACTCATCAAAACTACAGGGAGCCATTGTGTTTCTTCTGTTTAACTCAAGAACTCTTAGGAACATTAACATCTGTAAGATTTATTTGCAAAGACCCCAATTTACAAATTTTCAACTGCACTACAAAGTGCACATCTTTAACTAACAGCAGCAACACACACAAATATATAGAAATGCAGACTGATACAAAGAGAAAAAACGATTTAGTAGTCATCACATAAGTAACTGAGGTGGAAAGAAAGCCTAAACAATTCTCTCATACATTAGTAACTTATCTGATATATTTGGACTGTCAAAAAGTGCATAATTTTGTGTCAGCCACTGGTTTAAAATTAAGTTGATCAATTTCTTCACCTGTTTGCTACATAGAATAAGCTGAATAGTAAGGATAGGGTCACTGAAAGCTGAGACAAGTGGCAGTGACAGAGGCCACACGGGGATCACTGCTGGAGCTTTATTGGGAAATGTCGGAATACTGTAGGGGGAGAGCACCTTCCAATCTGACCCGTCCCTGAGAACGGCAGTATTGCCGAAAGTACTATGGCTAGTACTCAAATGATTACCCAGACTCATCACTACATTATACTCAATACATTCTGATAAGAAGTTTCACAATGTATAACAAATTTTGAGACTTTTTCAAAAGAAAAAATTCATATAAAAAACTCAACGGTATTCAAAGTACAGTATTTTACACAAAAGTAATTTTAAAAATTCATCTATGTGAAAATCTTCATCCCTAACAATGCCAGAGAAAAGGGGTGTTGATGTGGCTAGTTCACTTGATCACAGGTGAACTTAAATTTCCAGATCCTCTGCTTTAGTCTAAATAATCAAGCGTAACAGATTCAAATCAGTTCTAGATGATAATTACAGCTTCAATCTCATTTCAAGAGCAAAGACTTTCACTGTAAAGGAAATACCTCAACAATTTCTATATATAAACTTTATTCCATTTGATATACAAAAGTTTAAAATTAAGAAAAGGAAAATATGCACCTTTTATAAGTCAAAGAAAGGCAAGTTTTAGCTTTTGAGTTGGCCTGCAAAAAATTCATTAGAGGTACAAACTGTTCTACAGCAGGTCTGAAAGAAGTCTGCAGTCCTTCTGAAAAAGTTAAAACTGTTTTCAAGAGTACTTTTTATATTTAAATTTACAGGCACTGACCAATTTACAAATATTTACAGAAATCAAAACAACTTTAATAAACACTGTTACCTTTTTTTAAGCAGCTACCACTACTTTTTTTTCATGTGGAAAATACTAAAAAAGGTATTTTAAAAACATTGTGCTGTTCTTTGTAACAATTCTGTCTTCCTGAAAGATTCTGTAGTGGCTTACTGCCTAAAAATTCCAGTTTAGATTACAATACTGTAACTGCACACTAAAAAAATTCTGATTCTATAAATAGGATATAACCTTAACTTTAATGTTCCAGTTTGTGCTTCATGTCACAGGGCAAATAAAGCAGAAAAACAGAAGTGCACATTGCACTATGCTATCATGAAGCACAGGAGACAATCTTTTCAGCCTTTGAACCAACTCACTAACAATTCAGTGACTACCTTAAGTCAGTGGTCACATTACTGTACTACAGTGAAAGACATACTATTTCCAACAAAACCCAAAGCAATCTCAAGAGTGTGTCGGAAGCTTTGAAAGTACTCCTGAAATGCTACCCAGACACAACCAAATAGCCTCAGTCTTCCAGGGAGGGAAGTGAAGACTTAGGGCAACTGTCCAGTATCTCATGACTGCAGTGACTTCCCTGAAATAAGAGATTTTACTTTGCTTCAAGTAAATGAAAAACTAACTTAAATCTTCACTTCATTAGAATAAATTTAAGACAACAAAACCATCTACTATAGGTGACACTTTTAAGTTTGATGAATTAGACCCTTCCCAAAATTCCATACAACTCCATTATTAGCATGTGATACAGTTAATTAAAGTTGTATCAAAAATCTGTAACTGGTTCAGGTAATTTCCCAAAATATATTTTATTTGATTACCTAAAAATTCATGCCATAATATTACTAATCATCAATGTAAACATTTTCAAAAATACATTTTTAAATCAAAAGATTTTTATTAGGAAATGATATAATAAAATATGCAATCTTTATATAAGTATGACCTTTTAAAAATAAAACATGAAAACAAGAACAATTAAAAAGAAACCATAGTAGAGGTAAACAAAATGCATTATGATGTAACTCTTGTTCTTTATTTCTCAGAAGAATTTAAGAAATAGAGGCCAGTTATCTTTTCAGGATAGCAGTTCTTAAAGGCAGTATAGTGTTCAAATCTCTTTTGTTTTTCAATCTGTGAAATGACTAGGAGAGAAAGAAAAATTCAAAACATAAAAGAAAATGTTATTTAAAAACTCTACATTTGCAGGTCAAATTTTTCTATTCCGGCTGACAAACCGAAAAGACCTTCTTTTTCTTTTTCTTTTCTTGGAGACAGGGTCTTGCTAATTGCACAGGCAGGATTTTATCATATGGATCCTCCTGCCTCAAATTCCTAAAATGCTGGGATTATAGGTCTGTACCACTGATCATGGTACCAAAGGCCTAACCTGAATACTCTGTAACACTTGCATTTTTAACTATTATTAGGGTAAAATCCATTTGTATGACTAAATAATGAAAAGCCATGCCTCTAAAATGAACTCACAGTTCTGATTCTCTTTCTCATATGAACCAGTCCTTCCTATGTCTCATAATACACATTTCTAGTCTCTGAAGATAGAAACCTCATGTAACAAAATCACTGAAGAGTAAGTTCATTCCACAGACATAAACGTATTTTTTTTAACTTTCCAAACAGTATAGGATAAAATAGCATTCTAGTTCCTTGTGACAGTATAGTATGGAGAAGGAAAAGCATGGATTAGATTTCAGCTTTCTTCCAAGACTATAATAAATTTCCTGATATTTTAAGGAAGGAGAAGAGTCCACTAGGTTTTATTCAATCATTTTGGAAGTTTTTAATCCCCATAAAAATGTTTATTTCCACAAAAGGGAAAGCTGTATGAATGAAAACAGCTACTTTTCTCTGAAAGGAAAAGTGTATCTAACTTCAAGCAATGAATTTCCTACTGTGTCACATTAATGACTTAAAAGACTTAGAGATCAGGACTATCCCATCCCATTACATAAATTTTTGTCCTCCAAACTCAGGGCCTTACACATGCTAGGCAAGCATTCTGCCAGTGAGCTACACATCTAGCCTCTTCCCCTTTTTCAAAGCACACTGGTTTGCTAATTTTTCTATAATGTTAATCTGATGCACTGTTTACCTTTAAAAATTGATCCTTGATCATGTCAAACTTCTGCTTTTCATGCACAGCTCTGGCTGTATTTGTTCCATCAAAAGGTTCTGCAATGTTAAATGTACATATGAGAAGAAATAATTAAAATGAGCTTTTTTCTGAGATGCCAGGGACAAAACCTGGGGTCTTATGCATGTTAATGTTAGGCAAGCATGCTACCTAAGATATATCCCCATCAATTTTTAATTAGGCTCAAGTACATGAAATTGCCAATACTTGATCATGTTTGACGTATTAAAACAGCAATTTCATATGGTTTGCCCTAATATCTTTACTAGATTTATGAATATAGAAAAGTTTATAATTACAAGCTGTCTTATAAGGTAGATACAATTCAATGAAAGATGACAAAAAAGGAAAGTCATCGGCATAGGCATGTTAGGTCTAAATCACAACAGTGCTAAGATTTCTGAACAACTACAGAGTCAAGAACCTACCCTCAGGGGAATAAAAATAAGTTAAAGAGTAAAACACTGTCCAAAAAGAATAAAGTACTATATCCAAGAGACGAGCCAGCTAGCAAATATTAGAGAAAGGTAATTTTAAATTTAATTTTAACTTAAAAGTTGATATTGTCCAGCAGGAAGAGGTCAATTGGTCAACAATGCGGGGAGTATAGAGTGACTATGTCTTTAGAAAGAGATCTGGTGAAAACATTAACTCCTGTGAGAAATCTAGTACACAAAGAGAAAAAAAGAACAGCAAGCAGAGAAGACCAGAAGGAGGAGTTTTTGTATGTGCCCCCAACATACACCTTCTGTGTACATACCCTGATGCCACTCACCTTTCACCCACAAGACAGAAGAGTCTATAGAAAGAGAGAAAGAACCCAGAAGAGGACAAGGAAACTGAAGATAACATTCACAAGTGCAATATAATAT